TAAATAAATAACATGGCCATTGCCACACAGCTGGAGGGGTAAGCTGGCTGCAGAGCCAATTCCAACTCCCAGCCCTGCTGGGCCTCAGCTTTGTCCACTCCTCTCCCTCCCTTCGAGCTGTTGTTTTTGTTGGTCCCCCCCACACCCAACTCTTGTCTCAGAACCCTCACCCCTCTTCTATGCTGCCCCCACATCCCTGATTGTCCCACTAAAACATGCACATTTTATTTACTTACTTATTTATTTATTTTGAGACAGAGTATCACTTTATGGTCCTCGGTAGAGTACCCTGGTATCCTAGCTCACAGCAACCTCAAACTTTTGGGCTCAAGCAATCCCGCTGCAGCCTACCATGTAGCTGGGACTATAGGTGCCTGCTGGGATGCCTGGCTATTTTTAAAGATGGAGGGTCTAGCTCTTGCTTAGGTTGGTCTCAAACTCCTGAGTTCAAGCACTCCACCTGCCTCAGCCTCCCAGGGTGCTAGGATTATAATCATGAGCCCTCTCACCTGGCTAAAACATTCACATTATATCAAGGCTACCTTTTCACCCTCTTGCTAACCCTCAATGCACAACCACGTTTTGAGGAAGGAGACACTTCCCAAAGGCCATGAACCAATTTTAGAGTGACACTGTGTGGTGCTTGTTGTCCAAAATTTTGTTCTGGACCTTCAGAGACACAGTGCACATAGACACCCATCCCCAAATACACGTAAACCTACAAGCACATGAACTCATACACACGCACATCAGCTCACACGCACACACGTAACCCCGTGCTTGGTCCTCTAGCTGCCCCAGCCCCACAGAGCCCTTCTTCCCCGCCTCTCCTGAGAGGTTGGTGTAACACAGGCCAGAGAGAAGTGAAACCTGCCCCAGCAGGAAACGAAACAGCTGCTGAGCTTTTCTGGGGCCTCTGGGACAGCTGTTGGGGGCACTAAGCAAACAAGCAACAGTTTCTGGCCCTGGTCTGAGGTAACTGGGGTCCCATGCGTGGGGGTCTGGGTGGAGCTCCTGGACGGTGAGATTCAGAAGGTAGCTGGGCAGGGGGGTGTTGGGGCTTTGTTTATCTCCCACACCCCTCCCCGTCCCTACCTAAGGGGATGTGAGACTTTCAGTGGAGGAAGAACAGGCTTTGTCCACTGCAGACCCTTGCAAACGACTGTGGGGCCGAGGACGTGCCCTCAGACCCGTAGATCCACATGGCCTGTCCCTTTCTTTTTAGTATGGAAACAAACTACTTTCTAGAGTTTTCAGGCCACTATCTTTTAAAAGTAAAAGAAAAATTTTGTGGAAGGAGAGATGCTGAGTAGGCATACTACTAGGCTGTTGACAGGTATTCCTAGTGTGTTGATAGGAATTATTTTTCTTTATATTTGAACCAAGCTGGTCCTGACCAGTGTTAGCTAAACTTTTATCTAGCAGGCCAGGAAAGGTCCACAGAGGCTGGGACACACATGCTTTTGGGGGTCCTTCTTGGAGAGGATGGAGTTAGAGATTTTGGAACTTGTTGGCCTCCCTTATGTGTCACCAAGGAGCGAGGGCAAGGAGCTGGGCCCACTGGCTGGAGAATGCAGCTCAGGCTGGGTTGGGGTGAGATACAGAAGTCACCGTCCCCTTGCCCTGGAGGTCTCAGCTGCAGGCAGATACTTGTCTAAGAAGAGAGTCAGGACTTAGTGAAGCTGAGGACTGACACAGGTGATAGAGCCCCGACTATAACCATAGTGCTGGTAGTACTAATTTTTTCTTAAAATCCCCTCTAGGGCATCTGATGGACCATGGAATAATTGAATGCTAGGGCTGGGAAGAATCTTGGATAACCCTATGTAACAATTACCAAACTTTCCATTTTGGTCATATCTTGGAGCCTCTATTTACTTAAGATATTTTAAAAATTAACTTATTAAACTTTTAATGTTAACCAAAGCAATAATAGTCACGATACTATGGATGTGATGTGTTGATATACACTTTGAAACTACATATCTATTAAAATCACTCATCTCAGGCTGGGCGCAGTGGCTCACGCCTGTAATCCTAGCACTCTGGGAGGCTAAGGTGGGATGATTCCCTGAGCTCATGGGTTCCAGACCAGCCTGACCAAGGGGTTGTGTTGGGCGCCTAGTTTCAAGTAGTTGGGAGGCTGAGGCAAGAGAATCGGTTGAGCCCAAGAGTTTGAGGTTGCTGTGAGCTATGACGCTACGACACTCTAACAAAGTAAGACTCTGTCTCAAAAAAATAAATAAATAAAAAATAAATAAATAAATAAAAATAAAAATTACCCGGGTGGAGCCTATGGCTCAAAGGAGTAGAGTGCCAGCCCCTTATGCTGGAGATGGCGGGTTCAAACCCAGCCCTGGCCAATAAATAAATAAATAAATAAAAATGAAAGTAAAAATTACCCATTCACGCATCACTCTTTGAGAACCACTATTCTCTGCCAAGTCACCCATTTTACAAGAAGGACCCTGAGGCCAACAGACATTAGTGAGTCACCCATGTTGGCACAGTGAGAGACTGATACTAATTTGAGGCTGTTCCTAAGGTTTCCTCAGTTACAGTCTTGATTCTTCTGGGCATATTGTGTCATATTTCCAAGTATGTAGAAATAATTCTTAAACGAAATTCAGATAGATAACGCACATAAAGGGTAAAAGTGCCTGGCATGAGGAGATGGTTAATAAATTCCCTTCCTTCTTTAATTCACGGCTCTCTGCTAGCCTGGACTAGCTGCTCTCTGGAAGCTTTTAGAATCTTTTTTTTAAATGCTTATGTTCTGAGCTATCAAGATGATGGATCTTGACATGGCCACTGAGTAATTCACTGAGCTGTGCTAGATACCTGACAAGTCCTTTCAATCTGAAGACACAGGACTTCGGTTCCAGAATAATTTCTTATATTACTTGTTTGCTTATTTCCTCCCCCCTATTTTTGTTTTTTTTCTTTTTCCTTCTGAAATTTCCAGTACGGAGGGGTTGGCTTTCCTGAACCAATAATCATCTCATTTTCTTTCTTTCTTTCTTTTTCATTCTTGCAGTTTTTGGCCATGGCCGGGTTTGAACCCGCCACCTCTGGGATATGGGGCTGGCACCCTACTCCTGGAGCCACAGGTGCCGCCCAATCATCTCATTTTCTTCCCTCCTATTTGATTCTACTTTCTAAAAGATTTTCTTCACTTTCATTTTTTTAATATTGCCAATAAAAATTCTAAATTTCAGCACTTGCCTTTTTAATTTCTAAAAGCTTTCTTTCTCCTTCTCTGTTCATTTTCTTCATAACCTCCTTTTCCTGTTTTACAGATACAGTATCTTTTCCTTTGCCTCTGAGGATATTATCATTCTCTTGGATTTTTCTTTGATTTCCTACATTGCTTCATTCCTCCTGGAGTCTCCAGCTCTGTGTGTTTTATTTTCGTTTATTTTCATGTTGGAGGCCGTATTAAAATGTTTTGCGATCCTGTGTTCTCTGGTTATATCTATTTACTTATTCTTCATTTTCATTTTTTAAAATTAAATACATATAATTTGAACCAACACATATTTGTGTTTCCCCTGCTACAGGAAAGGTATTCCACAGTGAAATTAGGATTGTCTAGTGCATCAGACAGATATAGGAGCTGTCATCACAAGCGGCAAAGAGAAAAGAAAAAATGTATTTAGGATAGGTTACCAATTTTTTTTTTTTTTTAAACAGAGTCTTACTCTATTGCCCTCAGTAGAGTGCTGTCATGTCACAGCTCATGACAACCTCCAACTCTTGGACTCAAGCAACTTAAAACTCTTGGGCTTAAGCAATTCTCTTGCCTCAGTCTCCCAAGTAGCTGGGACTATAGGCACCTACCACAATGCCCGGCTATTTTTTTGTTGCAGTGGTCATTGCTGTTTAGCTGACCCGGGCTGGGTTCTAACCCTCCAGCCTGGGTGTCTGTGGCCAGCGCCCCACCTGCTGAGGTACAGGCGCCGCCCAATAGTTGTACCTATTTTTGAGGTACCTTGATATAAGCAAACAATGTGTGCGGATCAGGTCAGGGTATTTGGGATGCCCATCACCCTGAGTGTTTATCATGTCTTTGTTTGGTACCATTTCATGTCCTCTCTTCTACACAAGCTTCCATCTAACTGTATGTTTTACCCATAACCAACTCTCTTCATCTCTACCCACCCGCCCTTCCCAGTCTCTAGTATCTATTGTTCTATTTTCTATGTCCTTTTTTTTTTTTTTTTGCAGTTTTTGGCTGGGAGTGGGTTAGAACCCACTGCCTCCAGCATGAGGGCCGGCGCCCTACTCCTTGAGCCACAGACACCGCCCGTATTTCTCTGTTCTTGAAATCAAGTTTTTAGCTCCCAAACATAAGAAAGAACATGCAAGACTTGTCTTTCTGTGCCTGGCTTATTTTATTTCATTTAGCTTAATGACCTCCAGTTCCATCCATATTGCTGCAAATGACAGGATTTCAGTTTTCTTTTTAATGGCCAAATAGCATTCCATTGTGTAAATATACCACATTTTCTTCATCCATTCGTTCCTCAGTGGATATTTAGGTTAATTTCGTATCTTTGTCATTGTGAATAGTGCTGCATTAAACATGGGGGTGCAAGTCTCCCTTTGATATAGTCATTTATTTTATTTTATTTTTTTTTTTTTTGAGACAGAGCCTCAAGCTGTCCCCCTGGGTAGAGTGCCGTGGCATTACAGCTCACAGCAACCTCAAACTCCCATTTATTTTCCTTTGGACACATACACAGTTGTGGGATTGTTGGATTATATGGTAGTTCTATTTTTAGTTTTTTGCAAAATCTCTATAGTATTTTCCATTGTGGTTATACAATTTAATTCCCACAAACAGCGTGTAAGAGTTCCCTTTTCATTCTAACCAGCATGTGTTATTTTTTTGTATGTTTTTTTTGTGTGTGTTTTATTTTATTTTATTCATTGATTGATTGATTGATTGGAGACAGAGCCTCAAGCTGTCGCCCTGGGTAGAGTGCCGTGGCATCATAGCTCACAACAACCTCAAACTCCTGGGCTGAAGCAATTCTCTTGCCTCAGACTCCCAAGTAGCCAGGACCACAGATGCCCACCACAACGCCTGGCTATGTTTTGGTTGTATTTGTCATTGTCTGGCAGGCCAGGGCTGGATTTGAACCAACCAGCTCTGGTGTATGTGTCTGGTGCCTTAGCCTCTTGAGTTATAGGTACTGAGCTTGTGTGTGTGTTTTAAATAATAGCCATCTAACTGGAGTAGATGATTAGATGATATTTCATTCTGTGTGTGG